TGTAATAGTAGTAGAGAGACCATATAACTGGGTTGGTTGATATTTTTCCAAAAATCCATATAATCAATTAGCTTTAATTAGCTCTAATTAGATCTTATAATTTTAGGATTAGAAGGAGGGTAAGCTAAAAATCCTTAATGGTAATTGGTAAAAATATAGCTATATTTATGCTTAACTATAGTTAATTTAATATAGAGCTTTTCCCTGATATTGGAAAAGTACTCTTAATAATGCCAATATTGCCAAGTCCTGACAATATGCACTATGTACTATCATATGTGGGTGTATCAAAGTCTAGCTCTATGGTTCTCTATTTATAGTGCATTCTATTACACATGCTTATTAGGCACTGTAGGTCTTGTAATCCTTTTTTTGGTATACCTTGCAGAGACTCCTTTACTGCTTCCTATACCATTTTACTAAACATCGCTTACTTTTTTAACCATAGCATGATAGAACCTTATAGTCTATAAGTGAAGCTATACATGGTCTAGTTTATCTTTTAAATTTTCAAGTCTTGGCATGGTATTATAAGCACTTTACCTTATAATTTTGCATATGATCTGCTTACTTTAGTTTACTATAAACACCCCTACTCTTGACTCTGCAATAGAACCAGTTTCTAATACCCTTCAATTTAGAGCTCAACTTTATAAGAAGATCTCACTTGTATCATGTCCACATTGACATCTCTCTTGTCTTGCTTGACTGGTCTCTCACTACCTTTGTTATTTCTATTGTTAGGGCCTTTGTCACTGCTCTTAAAGTACCTTGGCTGCTCACTAGTAATATTGCTCTCTTTATGTGTGAGAAGTAATCTTGCATTACCTTTGTGCTATTATGGTAGTTCTTACATATGCCTTATATGGCCCCATATTACCTTGGTCAATATTTTGATATCTTATAGTATATATCTCACATCTTATTTCATAACTTATGAAGGTCTTTTAAGATTGTAGTAAAGCCAGCTCTCTGTCTATTCTATATTTAGTTGTGTGTTTTGTTGTGTGTTTTTGCTCACAGAGCCATCACTAGCATATCAATGGCATTCTTATTTTTTTCAAAGTAGTATAAAAGGCCTATAGAATAGGCTAAGAAACTTTAGTCTATTCTCTTCATATTCTTGTATCTTCCTATATAAGCTATCCTTGACTTATTACAGTCTTTTTACTATAACCACATTAATACCATCCTCTTTTATACTATTGTGTGGTCAAGGCTATTATCCCACTCTTTCTTATTGTGTGACCTAGAAAAGAACCTACTACTCTTGGAGTTATCAAATAAGCAATCTATAATAAGAATTAGCATAGTCTAAAGCAAACTATGCAAGGGTATATTAAAAGGTAGCTACATACTAGTACTAGCCTCACATAGCACTAATCATTGTGATGTGCACTTAGGTAGCTGAGTTATAGATTGGTAGATAGCATTCTTTACAAGCCTCAGTTATGTTTATAAGATGAATTGGCATACCCTTTGTCTTTAGCTACCTTGGAACATAGGTTGGTCAACAATTGTAGATGGTAATGATTCTTCAATACTGGTGCAGTGGTAAATAAGATATTCTAAGGTAAAATGAAATATCAGAATGTTCATTTCCCTTATACTGCATATATAAAATCAAAGGGCAGCTAAATTAGTTGAGGTCTGTTAGCATAAGTATTAGGCAATACTTGTAATAATAAAAAGTGTAGTAATCTAAGAAACAATGTATCTGCCTTATTAAACATATTAAGAAAATATCTTGGTTGTCATGTTCTAGATATCAGAGAAGAACTTCAGTCACACAAGGATTAGAGTAATCATCTTAAGAGTATTGTGTGTCCCCATAGCATTCAGTTTACTATGGCAGATAATATTGCTATATTCAAAGGCTCAATATTAAGCCACTAGGCTTATCACATGCTATAAGCACTAAGAAGGGTTCTCTAGGCTATTTGAATAGTGACCATCCAACAAATAAAAACTATTGCATGTCTTTGGACTTATATGAGGAAGTACATTAATATACTAGAGGCATCTCTAAGTACTGAGCACAATACCAAAACAACCTCTAGAGCAGGGGGTACTAGAGCTAGTATCTGATATATAAGAGATGAGTACAAACACAAATGAGGCTAAATAATAAGGATGATGAGTTTTCAAAAGTCATAAGCTAGAAAAATAGCTAGATACTAGGCATAGTACAAAGATCAAGTTGTATACAAAGTAAACAAGCTAAGCTTTTTAGAAGCTCATCTCAGCTATAAGTATATACAAGCTATTTAGGGCAGGATCAAGATTAGGTCTATGCTTCCAAATGCTAATCTACTCAACAAGTGTCAAAACTTCTAAAATATCAAGTTCTTAATCATGATCAGTAATCTATAGTCTGCAATGTATTCTGATATGTAAGTATAATAAAATGTTTGTCTGCATTATTATGAATCCAGGAACCAATCATAATTAACATAAGTAAGTGTTCAAGCTGAAGCTTGTAAATAAATTATATGACATAAGCATTCATATATAAGTATGTAAATCATAATTAATTAAACTAGTAGTCTATATTCAACTTATGTATATACCACTTGATGTTTTCCCTAAGCCACATATAAAGCATATGGTAAAACATGGTCCTAATATTGGAACATATATTTGTGGCATACCTATAGTGACAAATGAAGCAACTATAACACTTTAATTTAGGTTTAATCTTTTTAATTCTATGGCCATGTCTTTTAGCTGGTTAGCCTTAGCTATGCAACTAGAATAATAGAGTGACCATACTCACTGCCAATTTTTAAATCAAAAATAGGGACTATTAAGCCTATGAGCATTGGCAATGATAGAAGAAAGTCAACTTGACCTATATTTGTTAGTGAATAAGTGTTAGTAGAGCCTATAATAATGCAACAATAGAATAACATATTAAGCAGAATATATAATGTGTCTATAGAGATTATGTGTCCACAATAAGGTTTAACAAGGGGGCCAAAGTGTTTAGCTAAAGTATTTGGCCTATATAGTGCCAAAGTGTATCTTTAGCTTTAGTATGATTAAAGAAGCACATATTTGCATATATAAATAGCAGGTAGCAGATAAGAAGGAGGATCCAAGGCTATGATTAGGGCCACTGATAGAAAAGAAAGTTCTAACAGATGGGTAAAGTATGAGGTGTTGAAATCTGGTGTTAGTATGTTATTGGGCATTTATACAAGCCATATGCCTAACAAGAGCTAGGGTTAGAAACATAGAAAGTAGGTATTGATTCCTAAAGATGGCTGAATAGGAAAAGCACTGTATTTATATAAGAATAAATTGGCCAGTGGCAGAAACAAACCAAAATACATAGTATTATGTATTAAAGCTCTTGGAATTATTAATGGCAAAGAACAATAATGAGTTTTAATAGGGGAAAGGTGTGTAAATGTAGGAAAAAGAAAGAAGAGGGCAAGATAGGTATGTGAAAGTTGGCCAGTGCTCCCAAAATAAGTGGGCTCTATATGCTGATAAATAAAACACAATAGAGCCCTGTGTTTGAATTGTTGGACCATTGGTAGTTATGTTAGCCTAGCTAACTATCACTAGTCATTAAAAAGTCTCTGCAGCTACATATTTTTAGTCATGATTTAGTAGAGTGAAGGACATCTATTAGTTCTATCCTCTATATCTTAATAGGAAATTTATAGCATAGAGATCTTTTAGCTTGGATCAATTGTGCTCTTAATTAATCTGGCCCTTTTGTCACTCACCCTAGCCTTATCAGTGCTCATCTTTTTGTTGTTGCTTATAATATATGTGGGTCCAAGAACTCTTAAATCATTGGGTGGCTAATTATACTAGGAGGCATTTGCTTGTGCTGGATTCCATATAATATGCTCACTGCTACTTGCTAATATGCTTTGAGTGGTTAAAAGCAGACTCTGCTAATGCATCCATTATAGGTATGTTCTACTCTAGTAGTTATGTAGTTTTACCAGGTTCAGCCACATAAAGGCCAGAGATATGTTTGCTAACATACATGCTGCTATATAATGAAGAAACAAGATGGGTCCAAGTTTACTTTGCTTTCCACATGCTTAAGCCTGCTTATGCCTAGTTTATATCTAAATCATGATATCTTGCAGGTAGTAAGGATTTTAGCTTAAATTTAATATCTTTTGAAACTCAGCTTGTCTATGTGCAAGGTTGCTTATGTACTAATTGAAAAAAGCTCAAAATATCATTTATAGACAGCCTTGATGTGCAAGAACAGATAAAATATGCTTAGAAATGTAAAAGAGACCTGAAACAATAGTGAAATCCCAAAATTTGAACATAACAAATAATGTTTTTGGTGGGACTTGAACCAACAACTGGAGCAAAACAATAGTATTTGCACCAACTTGCCTATCATGCCAAACATACAATTGTCCAGTAGGTAATATTTATCTAGTTAGTAAGCTTTACCCACTTATGAGTCAAGTTGGGTGATGCATAACCTGCAAAGTTCATCATTTTAGAGCAGCTAAACCCAAAATCCACACTACATGCAAGGCTCCATCATTTAGAAGCAGACCTTATACACAGAATGACTATCTTCTGTGTAAGGTCAGCCATGGAGATTAGCTCGTGCCATTGATGCGACTCGGGATAGGAGTGCTCAGGCCCGCTCGGAGTCCGCTCGGGGCCCTGACTACGAGCGGGACCACATGATCACGTGCGCCGATGTTGGAATCGCGACGTTTACGTCCGTGTCGAGGTCGCAACCAATCCCGTGTCCTTTTCCCCATTTTCCTTCGTTCTTCTCCGTCTAATCTGTAGACGATTTGCTCACGACTCCTCGACGACTTTCTCCCACGATCTACCACGATTTTACCGCCTTCGTCACCTACATCACAATCTCATTCCTTCTCATATCCACGACGATCCAGAACGAACGATTGCACGGAAGCAGATTTCAGGACCACGACAGTTGACACTTTTGATTCCGCTTTTTTGCACGACACGACATCACGCGACGAGCACGACTGGTGATGTCGACAACCACGCAGATTCTGTTCAATTCTCCTGCTTTACATTCTCTCAAGCGCGACCAGCTTGTCAAACTCTGCAAGATTCATTCCATCAAGGCTTCAGGCAAGAATGTCGAGCTCATCGAGCGCCTGAAGCAACACGCCAACACGCTCCCTAATTTTGAGCCCACCCAGAGCGACGAGACCACCGATGGCGACGAACAGGATCAGGATGTGGACGAGGAAATGCTGTCTACATCTCTTGCGGGGCACTCTATCGCGCGTCCCAGCGAACAATGGGAGGTCGTGATGGACGATATTGAGGAGGAAACGTCGTCCCAGGGCACCGGCACACTCAATTCGCTACGGAGCATGGACAGTGCCGGCGAGTTTGGCGTCGGAGGACCGAAATGTAAGTCCCATTTGATATTTCCGTGTGCGCAATATCCCTGCCTTGGCCTGCAGCTGTCTAGTAGCAGACCTATAGCAACCATCCTTGAGAGATAGCTTCCGCGGGTGTCCGCGGGCTTCTTCGCAATGCGTATATAAACATATTGTTCTCCATCTGACTTCCTTACCTTTCAGCTTCGTCAATGAGCTCTTCGATAAAGGCCTTCGCCACATCCCTTGGCTTGAAGCATTCTGGCAACTCTAAATCATGCACCTCGAGCTCAACATTCCCTGATGCACTCGCGCCCTCCAGCTCGCTCTCTTTCATGCCTCGAATCCGAACGAAGAGCACATCCAGTAAACACAGCAAGAGCAGCAGCACTTCGCCTGCCGAAGACTATAATGACGAACTCACCGCGCACGCTAAACCTTACGCGGACCTCCCTGTACCACGTCCATCTGCGCTTCCACAGACTGATCACTTCACTTTATCTACGCCAGACACCACCATGTCGTCCGATCTACCACTCCCTGGGCACGCCTCGAGGCCAGGTGTTCCTGCACCCCCCAACGCGCGTCTGAGCACTGGCAACGGAGGAAGCACCACCATTCGCCTCGTCTCTGTCGCGACGAACTCGTCAGCCTTCACGCTGAAGGGCAGCGTGCCCGGAACGCCACAACTGAAGGCGATTGCCACCAGCTTTGACTTGGTCACGAGTCCCAGCGTGGGCAAAATCCCAGTGTGGCCCCTGAGTCCGACGAAGGGCGCGGGCGAGCGTTTGTACCCGGCGCTGCCGACGGATTACTTCCCGCATCCTGCGTGGAAAACGAAACGGAACTCGACTGGGGCGAATACTGACGTCCAGATGGACGTTGAGGATAATATCGGGATGCCCGGTGGCATGAGTACGCCTGGGCCTGTCGCCGCCTCTCCTTCAAAGACCCCGTTGCGCCCTTCAAATGAAATCGTCGACCTGTTCTCGCCTGCTCCAGGAGCTTCATTCGCCCCGCCAAGTAAGCTTGGTGATCCCTTTATCTTCGGCTCTCCCCTCCCGCAACACAACGTTTCGAACAAAGAATTTGACACTGCAGCCGCGGCTGTCCTACAAGAGATGAACCGTCGACTGATTGCTGTCGGGGGGGGAAAGGTTGGGTTGGATCTACTTGAGAAGCAACCTGACGTGCCCGCCGCAGGTGGCGAGAGCCGAATCTTCGGGGTCATGAAAACCGAGGACAGGTTCAAAGCAGTACACGAGAAAGAGTTCGAGAAGATGGAATCCATTGTGACACGTTATGCTGCAAGGCGCGGTATGGCAGTCGCAGAGCCTGGCCTGGTACCCGGGACGAAGAAGCGCAAATCAGAGGCCCTCGGCCAAGGGCATCCTGGACCAAGCGGCAGAGGAACAAACAGAGCGAACACGAGGGTGATCAGTAATGGGGTAAGGAAGAAAATGATACCTGGAGGATTTGGAGGCGGGGACGAGAGCGAGGAAGAGGAGGACGGCAGGATGTCAAAGCGAGTTAGGGTGGTAAGTGAGGACGGCGGGATGGATACGGGCAAGCGGATGTCGCTGGCGCCTCCACCTGCCCCAGAGCGCGATAAGAGGGAGAAAGAACGAGATGCGGTGAAGAAGATGTTGGAGCTAAAGAGGGAGAAGAGGCGGAGCAGCTTGAGGACAATGAGCGGTTTCAAACCACTGGCGAATCGTGAGTCTTTGACTTGCAAGCTTTGATATCGCTGCTGATCTTGGGATGCAGAGCAAGCGAAGGGCATGACGTCGCGTTTCGGGTTCCTTACCTCCGCCAAAACTATGGTCAAAAATGTGTGGAACATGGGCGTAGGATCGACCACGAAGACAACTGCGGCCCCAGGAACGAATATCCCTGTCCCTAAAGTTCCGCCTACGAAACCTGTTCCACCTCCCGCCGAGTCAAAGAATGACACCAAGAGTTCAACCAAGACAGGCGTGGTCAAGACAGGAACCAGCAGCAGCAAAAGATCATTCGGGTTTCCCATGACGCACCGGCGCGCAGGGTCTGGGGATTCGACACATTCGCACACCTCTGGAACCTCCACCACGATTGCAAACACCGGAAAGGTTGTCAAGGCGGCGACAATTCCTGTCGGCAGCGCTGCGTCCAAAGTCCGCTCCCCGATCCCTACATTCGGCTCGAGACTCGCACTCAACAAGCCCCCAGTCATGCATACTACAACGGTGGCGAGCTCTAAGCCCACTAGCTCTACAGCTCCTTCACGCTTGCGTGCCCGCGCCAGTACCCTTGTGGACTCGTCGCTTCTTAGCGCAAAGGGACCTGGTCATGTTCGTACCAATTCCACCGGTGGCAGTTCTGTAACATCCATGGGTACTCGACGCGCTCCCAGCGTTGGTACGGCCGGGCCTGCAGGTACAAGCACTAAGAGCACTGGTCGACCTTCATCCACGCTTCATGCCCCAACTGCGAGCTCCCTAGCCAAAACACGCAACTCCGTCTCGAATCTTCCGAAGGTCCCTGAGCATAGTCTGACGACTAAGGGTGTTGTGGCCAAAGGTGGTGCGTCTGCCCTGAACCTGATCACGAACAGCCCGCGACAGGCTGGCGTGTCGACTGTCCGCACACCCCCGGCCAAGATCTTCAGCAGGCCCCTCAGCGCCAGCAGCAGCCCCTCGCTGATTCCCGTCCTCGTCAAACCAGTCTCCTTAGGTGCGGCTGCATCGGTCCTCGCTACTGGCCTCCAGAACAAGACTGTCAAACCTGGCGTGCCACCTCACGCGCCAACCCCGGCGAACGAGCCGAAGCCGAAGCCCACGATTGTGCGCAAGCCACGCATCTCCCGCTCGCGTGTCATCGCCAAGCTCGGTGCACAGCGCGCGGCGCTCGCTGCCGGTCCAGTCACGTCCCCGAGCAACCCACGGATCAGTGCCTCTGCCCCGCGAAAGCCTTCGAGTGGAGGTGTTGGGGCGAGGCGGTCGTTCGGCGGCGCGATTAGGGGTGTGAGGGCCGCGAGTGGAGACGCGGTAATGATGAGCGCGAAGAAGAGGGCTAGGCAGAGTGAGTATATGAGGCGGCGCAGTAGGGCTACGGGCAGCGCGGTCAGCGCTCACAGTAGGTTGTTTGGAGAGAGTAAGATGAATGTCGATGCTGATTAGGGGAGCGGGCCTTGAATGCGGCTGCTCCCGCTTCGGTTTCGTTTTCTTGAACATATTTTGTCTTTCTTCTTCTACCTTTCTTGTTCAAATTGATTCACTTTTTTTCGGGATGTCGTTTTCATCGGGACTCGATGGACCTTTTGTTGTTTCCTGTTTCTTGCTGATTCACGTTTTTTACTTCCTTATCATCTCGTCTTATTCGTGTAGGCTTTTCTCTTCTCACCGATTTTAGATCTCTGCCTCGATCTCTGCCCTGTGTGGGCAATATATTGGTCTGTACACTCCGCACTGCTGTTGCGATATCCTTATACTGTTGTATATCTGTCCGTAAAGTAGCTGTATACTCTTTATCATCGATCACCATGCAGTGCATGAATCTCATTTTTTCTTATCACTCCAAGCCTCATCGACTCATCGATAGAAAAAGCATAACACAATGTCTTCATTCAGCGGATCGACGACACCATGCACGAGCTACCGCTTTATTCTCTCAACAATTGGGAAGATGATGATTGCAGTGCGGTATACACAAATACAAGCTAACCGACACCGAATTCGAGGGGAGTAGAGAAATGGAGGCCTGTGTTGGGAGTTGCATCAGTATTACATACATACAGCAGAAGCACATGCATGAAAGACAATGGGTAGTTTCAGAGAAGCCGATGTTTTCATGATCCTTGCTACGCAGGAGTACCACAAACCGACTGACTCTCACCAAGACGGCTCGAGCCAGTACGGTCCTTCCCGATGGGAAGGTGGTTCACGGCACAACGCGATGACAAGTATTCAACGAATGGATGAACTTGGTTTCGTCCTCAAGAGATGAGGTGGATGGAAAATGCGGTACTCACGATGTTAGAGGTTGAGATTGCAAATGATGGACAACCTGATCGGATCAAAAACTATTAGTTGTGTTTCCGACGCGCAGGATGAGACGAGAAGAGATGTCCTGAAAATGCTCAGTTGGTGATGCATGTTTGAGTATGGTTCATTGGGAACCTCACCGACTCAAGGATATGGAAATTATCGTCACAGCAGATGCAAGAGAACGAAGTAAGAGCCAACAAAATGTTAAAGTGAAAACTGACCACATGGAGACGTTTGAACAACTTGACGAGACACCAGCGATAGACCTGGAAGACGCACTCGCTCCGTGTCTCAATCCGTGGCCAAGTCGAAAAGCATTGAGTCTCCGATTAAAGTAATGGCCTTTGGACCTCAACGGAGTGTCAAATCTCGAAACAACTGTACAGTTCATAAGCGCCCCACTCTTCTGGATCGTGTCAGATACCCCCTCCATCTTTGTCTTTGTCTTCCTCTTCCTCCTCAACGTCTCCAGACAGGTAGACGAATCAGTAAGTCTTCTGATCATCTTATTTCGGTTTAACAGCCTTTCCTTGTGATGAGCAAAACTTATTCAGTTCTGCTTCCGAAGAGAGAGCAATCTCTTTGTGGATACCTCTTTACCAAAACTCTTTACTGATCTTTCTTTCACCTCTAAGTATTCGTGTTTCGAGCATTTACTCATGACATCCTTTTTTGACTGTTTTCAGGATCACCGATGACGCAGTGGTAGTTTTGCGCTCAATGGGTAAGCGTCCTGCCTCATCTGTCTCGCCATCCTTCCATCCTTTGTCTCCCCCATGATTTCAACAAAATATTTTACAAGCATATGTCCGACCGTAAATGAAGGATATCATATATTCACTGAGGGTCTTCCACTTCTTTGACTTCACATTTGTGATCACCGCATACTTACGCCTTCTCTTTCCAGTGTTTGCTCGGTGAGGCCTTGCATTAATTCATGTCTTTGCCATATCCCACATGTCATGAAATACATTATCATTATCTTGCCAACTTTCCTGCCAATTTTTTGAGTTTGCGTCCTAGCGCCTTCGTAAACTTCTGCGAAAGGAAAATTAGTGCATCATTCGACGACTATAGACAGAACTTGCGTACAGATACCGACCGACTGAACTTGGTGCGCCTACCCTCTTCGTGCCAATAGTCCTGGTATTGAGTTGGGGGGTATGTAAAATTAGGCTGTCTCTGACGGCTACTCAAATGTCGTTGTTGCAGCAGATCTTCCTCTGTATTCATGGGCTGCGAGCACCGGGATGCACCACAGAATGTTACGTTGTTATTCTTAGTGAAACAGACAAGAACAACGTACAGGGAGCACAGTCATAAAGTCTCCTCCATCCTGAGCTTGGGTATAATACGTTGAATGCCGGTAAGGACTCCTGCGCATTCGACAGCGGGGCGTGCACTTGTGTGCGACCTTGACGAGCCTAGGCACTGTTAGGACAAGTGCAAGCCGCTTGTCGAGGCACGAAGCTCTGGTATATGTACTATCATTACCAATCCCAATTCTGGTGACTGACCTAGCGATCTTGATTGCTTTAGGGTCTAACGGCAGTGATCAATGTTATCAGGCCATTTGTTTTCCCTCGCAAATGAGGCCTTCACAGTCCTCGGCACGCTGTAGGGATCCTGTCAGTCGGCCATCACGGACATCGGGGCGTTTCAAAGAAAAGATAGCTCCATGCGAGCGTCAGAGACGGACGAATCATTCCCTCCTGCCAAATGGAGAACAACAAAGATCATCCAACGATGTTCGATCAGGCTTCTTTCGAGGGCATCCTTCCCACACGTCTCCTTTGATCCCTTATTCTCATTCTTCTGCGTACACGCAAGACCCTGCATGACTTTGCCATTCCGGGATATGGACGGAAGCACAGCGTTGCGATGACGAGTCGTTGAGGGGAGGAAGACTATCTGGCGTATGGAGATAATGTTGGGACCACGACGTGGCCGCTTGCCAGTGTCGCATGAGTTGTCAGTGAGATTACGGTCAAACAGTGCTGAGTTCGTCCACTTCGAGAGCTTCACTTCGAGAAGTTGACTAGATCAGGCCCTTTGGCTCCTAATTTATGGGCCAACTTCTCAATGCTTCCCTTACCATGGTCAGTCTCTCAGCAACAGGTACGCGGTGTAATTAAGGAGAAATATGACGGCTACAAAACGTCGGCATTGTAAACCAGCGGAGTAAGTGATGTTAGGCGCGTTCACTCCTCGCTGAGGCGATACCTACCAAACATGGCGTGTTGCGCATAGTTGAGGCAACGACGGCCAAGCCTGCATGCATGCATATGAGCTGATTGTCTGACATCAGGACAACCACTGGGGTTCTCGCAATGAATAAGAAGCTCTAAAGGCTGCCAACCTACATTGACAGTGCAATCAATTCTACTATTTAAGGTGTCAACGAAGGACCTAAGTAAAGATCCTTGAACATCTCAAGCTCCTACATGGTCAGGTGTTCCAAAGCGTGCAATGTCCATCAGTCGGAGAGCTCGATGACCTCAACCTCATCTTGCTTCCCATTAATACCACCGCTGTTGTCACAGTCTAGGTCATCGTCCATCAGTGAAGCGTGTAATAACGGACAAGGCGCAGCAGAAGAAATAGAAAGCGAAGACAGGGCCCTGGCAGTAGAAAAAAGTTCCCCCAGATTAGATTGTTGGCCAACCTCGTCGTCGCTCGAGCAAGGTATGGTCATGGGGTCATGCCAGTCATGATCTGGAGAGCGTGAGTCGAATTTTTTAAATGCGGCTACATCGGAATTGTCATTACCAGTCAACATCACTTGCATCGAACGCGAGCTTCGAGGTGACACAGATCCTAGGGGAGAATGCAACGGCGGCAGCATAGGGAAGGTTTTCAACGATTGTGCTATAGTGCACGGGGAACGCGGTTCGGGAGCAGAGAGCGCAGAAGCAGTATAGTCGCCTTTTTCGGAATTGAAGTGACGAGCGGGAAAATGATGAGTTGAATCTGTTGTTCCACGAAAATTTCGGGGCATGTCAGTTGCAGATGACTGGTGACGCATTCTTGTCTGCTTGGTTGAGTTTTTCTTCGATGGTGGGATCTTGTAGGATGTGCTAGCGGGTGGGTTGAACGCCGGTGCGGAAGGCGCACGGTCGTCTTCGCTGATAGCATTCAAATCGAAAAATTCTTCGTCTGAAGAAGTCCGCTCGATGTCCGTATGATACCTTGCCTTCGGCCCTTTTAGTTGTCGACCAGACACCTGATTCGACGGGCCTAATAATGCACCGGAACGAGGACCTGTCACAACGTGTTAATCTTCCGCATTAATTCACATTATGCTGGCCGTCGGACATACCGAGGTTGAGATGATTGCCCTCATCCCCACTAGCTGAAGTGGCTGCTGCCCGTCTGACTGCTCTCACCTGGGGTGCCTTGTGCCTTCGTGGAGTAACTGGAGTATCTGACAGAGACTCGTTCCCTGGTTCAGACCCGAATGCATCTTCCTCTTCCTCATCCACACCATCATCATCAGGAACAGCTTTACCGGCGTATCTTCGATAGCAACCTTTGATGATATCTCCCCAAAGAGTATACGACTGGCAAGTTAGACATCTTCCACCTCGCGGGATCATGCCTATGCCACCTTGTGACGCGAGAAAATGCTGAGACAGACAGCTGAGATGAGAAACAGCATTGCATTCTGTTGATGAACATAGCGCAGTTGTGAGTGGGTCCTTGAAAGAACTCAAAGATCAATACCTATAAAGTTGAGTAAAGAAGGGAACCTACCGTAGAGTATGTAGTCAACGGCTTCCGACACACCGAACAGCGCAGATGTCTCCCCGAAGTTAAGAGAACGTCGTGTTTAGCTAAATGGGCAGTTGTGAACGCCGCTGCGAAGTTAGCGTGAGTGGTTTGGCGCAGATAAGAGGGCTCTCGGATGGTTACCATCAGACACGTCGATTGGCCCATCCCTGCCGGAACCTGATCTGCCTGACTTCCCGTCGACGCCTTCGAGTTCTATTTGAATTGTAAAGCCTGCAGGCAGAGGCAGTGCGCGCGCGCCCACGTCTTTGTCCACGTCTTTCCAGATTTTGACAGCATCCTCTGTAAAGAGCTTCACGTGGAGCGGCCATGTGTTGTAGGGCCTACACGCGATCATAGTACGAGCGACTCTGAACCGAATACAGTCAGAAAGGGGCTGTGAAGACCCAGACGGACGAGGATGACAAACTGGATGCTCATTTTGAGGTATTTTGACCGTCTGAACAAGGCCCCTCCACTTTCATCGCGAAGGTGGCGAGAGATGTGAGGATGTTGCCACGCCCATTCAAATTGAAGTGCCGCTAGCTTGGATGGGAACCCATAGACTATCATATGCATGACCCAAGGGCGGTTATGTTTAGTTTTCCAAGCACCCTGGGTGATCTCCCCATTGTGTTGACTTTAAGAGCAGATCAGAGTCAGATAAACACCTGTGTTTGATCAGCTCACCGTATCCGACGAGGGGGGCTAGGCGTACTCCCTATATATGTTCTATACCTGCGATGAGTATGTCGAGACCAGATGATGGCCTAAGTCACGTACGCTGTGGATCTCGGGGTACGAATAGATTTAAGTAGATAGCAAGCATAGAATTGTGGGAATTGGTGAAATCTCAGAGATGACTTGGACCTCTTTGTGGCCATGATTCAAGAGCGACGCCAAGTTACTTCTTGGGATGTTCTGAACCTGGTCGAGGTCAGACAGAGCGACCGTGATGTTGAAAGTGTAGCGATTCTATGGCATGCATTCGATAAACGATGTCAGAGGGTTTCTAAATCCTTGTATAACACGTACAATCTTGTGCCGCAGTCGGTGCGGTGGTGCGTTGTTGGGGACAGGCACTGGACAGGCGCTTGTGCGACGCGTCAACGCGGTCATGCGTGGCCATGCAGGGTCACGCGCGTTGCGTCGGCGCCTATCCGGCAGCGGCATGTTGAACGCCGATTCCGCCATGTCTTACCCCACCTTCGTCCTTCCGTCCAACTGTGTCTCACTGGTAGGGATAATATGGCAAACAGAGAAGGTAAGAGACCTGCGCAGGCTCTGTCACAATAATTTTTACGTTGTACCTTGCTTGCATGAAGATCTTAGCATCCCGAACCTTTTCAATGTTCAAGGGAAGACCGGTAAGCATCAGTCATTCGAAAGTGTGCAGAGCTGAGACTATCATGCTATAATACGATCGTATCGACAGCTGTAATAACAGGGGGAGGTTCTGGGATCGGAGCTATGATAGCTGAGGCATTTGTGCGGAACGGTGCTAAAGTTTACATAGCATCACGGAAGGAGAAACAGTTGCAGCAGGTGAATATCACTTGCGTCTCTGTGTTAGATCACGAACATCTTATATGTAAGTGCCAGGTGTCCAGCTACTTGAACAAGACTGGACCTGGCTCTTGCGAGTACCTGGTTGCAGATATTGGCGTGAGTATGATTGTTTATACTCCTAGAGATGTCAGGACGACCTCCTCAGAAGCTTGTGTATCTTCTAGTCCAAGGCCGGATGCACTCAGCTCGCTGAGGCCATTATATCAAGGGAGTCGAAGATTCATATCCTTGTGAACAACTCGGGTCTTGCCTGGGGTGCACCATACGACGAGTAAGTGGGGCCGGAGGCGGTATTATACAGTGACAATAATCTTTATTCAGCTTCCCCGAGAAGGAGGGATGGGACCGACTGATGGCTGTCAATGTCAAGAGCATCTTCTATCGTGCGCCGTCATTTCAATCGCATGTACCGTTCATGATCTGATGTATATGCTACACAGTGACATCTGGGTGCGCTCTTGTTTCGAGATCAGAATTGTCCATCTTACCAACTTCACAGGCTGACGAAGCTCCTGGAGAAGGACTCCACTAATGCTGATCCAGGCCGCGTGATCAACATCTCCTCGATTGCAGGAATTTCCCCAGTTGCAGAAGGAAGTCGAGTGCTTGGGGAAGGCAATGGCCTCTGGAGTTGTCAGTATCATCTCGGCTATTATATGACACATCGGGACCCAACTCAAGCTGTACCGTCTAGATCATACTAGCAAGGCAGCGGGTATGCCGAACACACCTCTGCTTGCGCTATGCCCTGATTTTTTCCTCAGTTAACCACCTCACTTCATCACTAGCCGCCACCTTGGCGCCTCGGTACATTACGTGCGTGCCTTACCGTCCCTCCTTGGTGCCTCTTAACTATTTTTCCCTGTAGTGTGAATGCCATTCTTCCTGGGTCAATTCTATGTTTCTGTTATCTCTATCGCAGGCTCACACGTAACTCGCAGAATATTCTCTTCTAAGATGACCGCATATGGCTTCAAGCGCGCGGGCAGTGCGGATAACATGGCTGCTGGACATCCTTTCGGTACACACTTTTTGTCTGAATCTATCTCTGGGTATGTCTCATATCGGATCTTGAAGGGCGTGTTGGAGAGCCTCGAGACATGGCTGGCGTAGGTTCGTGCATTTTGACATCATCTCTTGAGTCGAATGATGATACTCGTACTGTTAGCACTCTTCCTCGTGAGCCCTGCCGCGTCATATGTTACTGGCGCACACATCGTTCTTGATGGCGGAGGACTTGTTTCTGGCTCCAAGGCTCACTTATGATGTATAGAATTGGTAACGTACGAATGGAAGTATTTCGGGACCAATTCATGATCTACATAGCAGTACAAATCCTGGTACCTATCTATGAGGAAGCACATTTTCGAAAGACGGCTTCGGAGAAGTAGTGAACACCTTGCATGCGCTTGGTTTTAAATTCCCTTGGCTAGTTGGGTCTTGCATTCGTTCGTGCAGCAGGGTCATGTTGTCGCCTTTGTGGGCTGCTGATAGTATAATGTAATTGAGAAAACCCCAATCCTTGATGTCAATAGGAAACCCCGGAGTTTAAAATATTTGAGTCTGCAACCCGGCAACTGTCGCGGCCTAGGCCCTATACTACCGTTTTTGCGCACAACCTCGATGTTCCTTTCGCAAATTTTCTACTGTGCAACTCAGGCAAGCTCGCGGAATATATGGGGAATCTAGCAAGGTCCCAGTACGCCTCGGAAAATGTAGAAGCCTATTTGCTCTGTCCCCGCTTGCAAGGCGACGCAGACGAGCTTCATCGTGAGTGTGACGACGACACCTTACTGGCCCAAAGTCGCGCTCTTGTTCGTCTTGCGTTCGAATCTGCTAGATGGATACCTGTTGTACCAAAACTGGTTGTGCCGCGGTTTCTTTGTAAGAATCTCTCCCATTTCATTATCCGCATTTCTGCAATCTCTGCCGCGTCAGGTACTGTAGGAATTGTATATGTCTGGGCCCGCATCCCTCCTCGCGTCGTGCAGACGGAGACGAAACCTCTTCTGACAAGACTACAAGAGTGGGACTCGCCGTTTGCAGACCCGGCCGATTTCTTTACCCTAGACGATCTCCAGCCTTTTACGAGTACGGATTTCGCGTGCCTACTCGAGCCCCTTTCAGAACAGGTGTCCGCTGTCTCCTTACCAACCGGAACTGCTGGTACTCAGCGGCGAGCAGCCTCTGCCTCGCCTAACCGCCCTTCCAAGCGCGTCAAACTCGACGACGGTTCTCTCCGTCGGGTGATTCCTTACGTAGGTCTCTTTCCGTTGGAACCCACCGCAGCTTACATAGCTCAACTAGCCGCATTATTACTCTGCGCCCTATCCCCAGCCCCCCGATCTCGAGCCCCGTCGTGTCGAAGGTGGTGTCAGTACGAAGTCACATAATATTCCATCCTACGACCGCAGCGCCCCTATTTCCCTCTTTCCCCATACGCCTGAATCTATCGAATCCCACGTTGCCTCACAATATCGCAGGGTGGCATGGATTATTCCAATTCGCGGCGGCCCTCCGTGGGAACGGGCGCTGACATGGCTTTGAGTGAGACTCCGCGCTCACGTTCTTCCGAGGATGTCGACATCAATATTCTGTGGACACACGAATCCGTGCGCACGTTCTGGGAGTTCCTCGTGCGTGAGCTGCGAACGAGTATGCAACTTGGCCGCATATAAGTATCTTATCATGCAGCAGCTTCGACCTTGACCTTCCAGTCTCACATGAAACCTCGAAACCGTACCAGTCAGTCGTCCGTTGATCGAGCCGTCCCTGATAGCGTCGGCGCATCGTCCAATCTCGGAGTCTCCGCTAGTTCTCTTCCTCCTCGAAGCCTCTTCATAGATTATATCAAAGTATATTGTGGCGCGCACCAAGCGATGCGGCTTCGAAACGTGCTGGATGCGTGGGCCTTCAAGCCTGATAAGCCTGCGTCGGTCATAGAAGGAAATCGTAGTCAGAGCAGGAAAATCCGCGTACTGAAATGCGCGAGGTTCGTTCTGATGGACGAGAACGCTGCGGAGATGCTTGTCTCGTAGGTGGGTGCGAGGGATATTATTCACACGCGATTTGAAGGTCACGAGCAGCTTGATCCACAGAAGGAACAACTTAGGAACTTTGCCTTGCTATCAGATCCCCAGCTATCTTTGGACGCAGTGATATGTATTGTGGCATGCCCCCGGCTTCTGGGCTTGTTCGACGACACGTTTCCTCAGAAAACGTAAGTCTCTAGCTTATATTAGAACATTGCGTCTCAACAGTCAAGCCGTACGAGTGAGGCCAAGTACGCTCTTCGGTGTAACAAGTCCCTAGCATAGTCACCAAGTTTGAGCGGGGATTACAAAAGTTATCTTGGGCTCAAATGAGGGGTATCGAACGCGGCCAAACTGGGCTATTGCTGCGTTTACCGTACAATTGCTAATAGTGCTGCGGACGATGATGTTCAAATCTGACTCGATTCTGCCAAGCCTCCATAACCAGCTTTCTGTTGACCCAGGTCGTCATTTCGTTGATTCGTCTCGGGCCCGCTGATTTATGTCGTTGGGTCCCCTGGCCCCAAGAGCGAGATAGACTCACAGATTATTTTCTGGATCTCCTAACTGGGGCGCCAATTGTTCGCTTGATTGGGTGTCGGTGCCTATGTTTTCCTTGAGGACCCAGATTTTCGTTATTTGTGTTTCAAGATGTGATCAACGGCATCAAAGAATGGGTAAATGTATCTCTTGATCGCGCCGACATTGGTTCTGTATTTCACTGTCCCGTTTTCATATTCGGTCGATCATTTGTGTTCATGCGTTCAACGTTCAAGGTGAGCTCGGGGAGTACATAGGGGATCTGGCTCATGCCGAGCGACGCCGTCATCATGAGCGCCGCAGCAGTAGCTTACAAATGGTCTCGAGGAGAATCTGTGATCTGTCAATATCGTGGGCTCTGTGGGCGCTCCAAACCATTCGACCAAATGTGTGTGGAGATTTTGACAGACGCGCGGCTCGAGTCGAAGAAATTGACAATGACTTTCATGAGACCTCAAACGTCGGTGCGTGCCAGGGATCTTGAATGCTGCGTTGGGACATGAGACGTTTGCGAGATGGACAATTATCGACGTTTTGATTGGAAGAACAGGCGCTTGCCGCTTGACGCTCGCTTGACTCGCCCTGACTTTGTTCGAGTGACTCGGTGGCTAGCGACGGAACCGTGAAGGGTGTGCCTCTCGGTTTTCCAGCTTCAGTGAAATGAAGCTTTTCTGAACATTGGTGTATTTTCAAACATTAGAAGAAATGAACAAGAAGTTTCATTAATGTCGCACACGGAGAGACGGAGTATTGAATGCAATGGAGACTGGTTCGGGGGTTGAGCTGGGTTGGCCGAGGAACACGACAGCGTGTCGGCAGCAATGATCTCACGTAAGAGGGCTTAGGCATCGGGAAGGATGGCCGTGTGCTGCCGCGGGGCATACTAGGCTTGTGCAGCCAAGGCAAGTATATCTACTTCCCACCTCTCCATCCTCTTCGTCATTCCCCCCCTCCCTCACCGCCCGCTTCTTGTACTTCACTACAGGCCATCCCAGCCAGGACGCGCTCCTTTGCCCACCTCCACCATGTCCACAGAGGAGGGTTTCAGCGAGAAGGCGGCGCCGGAGTTGGCCCCAGCCCGCACTCCCCCGAAGCGTGGATTTTTCTCTCATAGAAGGACAAATCAAGATGTCATCGACGAGGACAGATCGGAGAAGACGGAGACTGCAGCGCCCCCTGCTGCCGCCGGAGTAGAGAAATTGACTCCAGTCTCGTTTCTTGAGATGTTCCGGCAAGTGTCATGTTTTCTTACTAGCCACTATCCAGGGCGAAGTAATTGGTGGCTGCTGGTTGGCTCTGGTTGGACGTTGTGACCCGATGCAACCAAGTATCCGGAAGCATATCCCGACGGCCAGGGATGTGCTCTCGATCATGCAGATTCGCAGCTGCGTACTTAGCACCACGTAGCTGGATCGAAGCAGCTGCAGTCATGATTTGGTTAGACCAAGGGGCGTATGGTAGCTGACTACTGGACAATGCTACAGATTTTCTACAAGATTCGAAATATTTCTTGATGTTGTGGGGCTGGTCGCTGCCGCCGCGGCTGGAGCAGCTCAGGTGAGTCGTGTCTACATTTCTTGCGCCTCCATGATGTTGAGTTAAGTTTCACTAGCCACTCATGAGTTTGATGTTCGGTAATCTTACTCAAGACTTCGTCTCATTCGGTCAAGCAGTCGCGAGCGGCGATTCAGCATCCATCCCTGCTGCAGCCGCCGGTTTCCGCAACAATGCGTCCAAAGACGCCTCGTATTTGGTCTATATCGGTACGTACGTTCATCTTCATTTGGTTACCATAGCTAACAACGTCATTATTCAGGTGTCGGCCTGTTCGTTTGCACGTACGTGTACATGTTTGTCTGGGTCTACACGGGCGAGGTCAACGCAAGACGTGTCCGTGAGAAATATCTGCAGTCGATCTTGCGTCAGGATATCGCGTTCTTTGACAAGACTGGTGCAGGGGAGGTGGCTACCCGCATTCAGACAGATACCCGTACGTCGCTGATCAGAACGCGGATCGCTGAGCTCTGGTTTACATCGCTTCTCAGATTTGGTCCAACAAGGCATTTCAGAGAAGGTGGCTCTAGTTGTGAACTTCTTAGCCGCTTTCGTCACTGGTTTTGTTTTGGCTTACATCCGAAATTGGCGCCTGGCCCTCGCGATGACGTCGGTTTTGCCCTGCATTGCGATCACGGGGACCGTCATGAACAAATTTGTCTCCAAGTATATGCAGTAAGTTCATTCTTGCATGCAGACAGTTGGCTCTTGTCTTAAGCACATGTCTGGTCTAGGCTTTCTCTCGAGCATGTCGCTGAAGGCGGATCGCTCGCGGAAGAGGTGTTTTCTACGGTCCGTACTGCTCAGGCGTTTGGCACGCAGAAGATTCTAGCGTCTCTGTATGATGTGCCTATTCAAAAGGCCTTCGATGTTGATGCCAAAGCAGCTGTCTGGCACGGAGGAGGGCTTGCCTGCTTTTTCTTTGTGATATATTCGTCTTATGCACTTGGTGAGTGTTTTACTTTCTAATGTTAATTTGTTGCTGACTTCGTGTATATGTAGCCTTTTCCTTTGGTACCACACTCATCAATGAGGGTCATGCCAATCCTGGACAAGTCATTAACGTGTTGATGGCCATCCTCATCGGCTCGTTCTCCTTGGCCCTCATGGCTCCTGAAATGCAAGGTGCGAGATCATTCTTCGATTAACTAAACTGGGTATTCATGGACATTTTCTGCTCAGCGATCACACACGGACGCGGAGCAGCCGCTAAGCTCTATCACACGATCGACCGTATACCCGATATCGATTCGTCGAGCCCAGAAGGCATGAAACCTGAAAAGGTGTTGGGTGAAATCACTCTCGAGAATGTCAAGTTCAACTACCCTTCGCGCCCAGACGTGCCCATCGTCAAAGACCTCTCGATTTCTTTCCCGGCTGGTAAGACTGCTGCGCTTGTCGGCGCGTCCGGCTCTGGAAAGTCCACGGTCATCTCGCTCGTCGAGCGGTTCTATGACCCGCTATCAGGCGTCGTGAGACTCGATGGCGTCAACCTCAAGGACCTCAACGTCAAGTGGTTGCGCTCGCAAATCGGTCTTGTTTCTCAGGAACCGACGCTATTTGCGACGACGATCAAGGGGAATGTCGCGCATGGGCTGATCAACACGCCGTACGAACACGCATCCGAAGAGGAAAAATTCAAGTTGATCAAGGAAGCATGCGTCAAGGCCAACGCTGACGGGTTCATTTCGAAGCTGCCGTTGGGTTATGATACCATGGTCGGCGAGCGCGGTTTCTTGCTCTCCGGTGGTCAGAAGCAACGGATTGCGATTGCTAGAGCTATCGTTTCAGACCCAAAGGTCTTGCTGTTGGATGAAGCCACTTCGGCGCTGGACACGCAGTCGGAGGGTGTCGTCCAGAACGCGCTCGACAAAGCTGCTGCTGGTGAGAACACATCTCATTCTATAATTCTAGCGTCATGCTAAAACACCTCTTTTACGTCAACAGGACGCACAACCATCACCATCGCACATCGTCTGTCCACCATCAAGGACGCCGACTGTATCTATGTCGTGGGTGACGGACTCATCCTCGAGAAGGGCAAGCACAACGAACTGCTCAAAGACGAGAATGGAGCCTACGCGCGCCTAGTTGCTGCGCAGAAGTTGCGGGACACGCGGGACTTGGAGCCCAAGGAAATTGAAGACGACATTACCGAAGGTGACGCGGAGGAAGATATCGAGAAGGCCGCGGAAGAAGAGATTCCACTAGGCCGCCGGAATACGCAACAATCCCTTGCCAGTGCGATTCTGCATGAGCGCCAGCAGCAGAAGGCTGCCTTGGGAGAGAAGTCTTACTCAGTCTCACATTTGTTCATGCGCATGGCCAGAATCAACAAGGACGAGTGGATGAAATACGTGTATGGTTGTATCTTTGCTGCTAGTATGTGGTTTCCTTTTTCTCCTCGCATTAGTGACGGTTCGGGTTTACCGATCTGTTCTGTTCAGTGACTGGCGCTGTTTTCCCCGCGTTCGGCATTGTCTGGTGTGAGTGTCTGTAATTCTTGTTCACATTTTCCTTCGATTCTGAGAACCATCATCAATTCCAGCCAAGACAATCAACGGCTTTTCGCTCCCAGATGCCCAGGAACGCCGGCACGCTGGTGATCGCAATGCTCTTTGGTGGGTGACTTGATATATTTTATTCCATGATACTGAATAGTGGTTGTATCAGGCTATTCATCATCGCCATCATTTCTATGTTTACGATCGGCTTCCAGAACTACTTCTTTGCTGCTTCCGCCGCTTCGCTCACTCAAAAGCTGCGCTCGCTTAGTTTCCGTGCAGTTCTCAGGCAAGACAGTGAGCCGTTAGTTTTCTTCCGTATCGCGCATGCAGGCTGATCGTGTTCTCGCAGTCGAGTATTTTGATAAAGAAGAGAACAGTGTATGTTATATCACCCTCTTGTCGTTGGACTGTTTACTCATGATTGAGATCAGACTGGTTCGTTGGTTTCTAATCTTAGTGACGCACCACAAAAGATCAATGGGTTGGCTGGCATCACTTTGGGAGCGTACGTACCCCACGATAGTACCGAGAGAAAATAAATGCTTACTGTGCTATGGTATCAGAATTGTGCAGAGCTTATCAACCCTGGTCCTCGGCGTCATTCTAGGTCTTATCTTCATTTGGAAGGTTGGCCTTGTTGGCCTTGGTACGTTGAGTTCTTCAGTATCCAACGTCATTGCCTGACTGTTTCGCCGTCTAGCCTGTGTTCCTCTCGTAGTATCGACTGGTTATATTCGCCTGGTAAATTTTTCTCATCTGCCTTCGATCGGCAAGCACGGACTAATCGCTGTGCAATACAGCGTGTTGTGGTTTTGAAGGACCAATCGAACAAGAAAGCACACGAGGATTCAGCCCAATTAGCTTGCGAAGCCGCAGCTTCCATTCGTACAGTTGCATCGTTGACGCGAGAAGAAGACTGCTTACGCCTGTACAGCGAGTCTCTAGAAGAGCCGATGCAGAAATCTAACAGGACGGCGGTTTGGTCGAACGGCCTGTACTCACTGTCACAGTCATTCTCGTTCTTCGTCATTGCCCTTGTATTCTGGTACGGCTCGCGTCTCGTCTCGTTCCAAGAGTTTACTACCGTCGACTTCTTCATTGGTCTCATGGCAAGTACACCCAACACACTCGAATCATGGAAATTCATTTGACGCTTTCCGCCGGTGATTTGTAGAGTACTGTCTTTGGCGCCATCCAAGCAGGCAATGTATTCTCGTTCGTGCCCGATATCTCGTCAGCAAGGGGTGCTGCAGCCGATATCATCCATTTGTTGGACTCCACACCTGAAGTTGATGCCGAGTCGACCGAGGGGAAAATACCCCAGAATGTTCAAGGCCATATCGAGCTCGAGAATGTCCACTTCCGTTACCCGACAAGGCCGGGGGTGCGCGTGCTTCGTGGTCTGAACATCACTGTCAAGCCTGGCACGTACGTCGCGCTTGTCGGCGCTAGTGGCTGCGGCAAAAGTACGGTGTAAGTAGAGTCTGGATTTCGTGCATCCGTCTTGGAAACTGACAGCGCTGCAGCATTCAACTCTTGGAACGCTTCTATGACCCTCTGGCTGGCAACGTACTTCTCGATGGTCAGAACATCTCCGAGATGAATGTTCAAGAATACCGCAAGAACATCGCCTTGGTCTCCCAAGAGCCTGTGAGTTACACTCACCCATCGATTCATTTTTTGTGATGGTGCTAATCGTTGTTCGTAGACTCTTTATGCTGGCACAGTCAAATTCAATATTTTACTTGGGGCGACCAAGCCAACCGGGGAAGTCACTCAGAAGGAACTGGAAGACGCATGCCGCAATGCGAACATTTTGGAGTTCATCGAGAGTTTGCCAGAGTATGTCCTTTCTTGTAGCCGGCTATGCTTATGCTGATCATCGAATGACAGTGGCTTTGAGACCGAAGTTGGTGGGAAGGGTTCGCAGTTGTCAGGAGGACAGAAGCGTGAGTTTTGTGCCTTTCGACATCTGGACATGCTCAAAAATTCTCCTCTACAGAACGCATTGCCATTGCTCGTGCACTCCTTCGTAATCCCAAAGTTCTCCTGTTGGACGAGGTTCGTTCATTATGCGAGGTCGGGAGCGGACTGAGGGGCTGACGTTGATATCCTAGGCGACTTCGGCTCTGGATTCTAACTCTGAGAAAATCGTCCAAGCTGCCCTTGATTCCGCAGCGAAGGGTCGGACAACGATTGCCATCGCACATCGATTGTCGACGATCCAAAACGCGGACTGCATGTACGTCGTGTACCTGAGTGTCTTCTCGATCAAACTAATCACTTTATTCTGCCCGCAATAGATATTTCATCAAAGAAGGATGCGTGAGCGAAGCAGGCACACACGACGAGCTACTTGCGCTGCGCGGTGGATATTACGAATACGTCCAGCTTCAAGCGTTGAGCAAGCAGTGATCGGACATGAGATGACCGCGACGAAACAGTCATTATAGCTAGATTGCACCATAGTTGTGATCCTCATGATGGTTCTTCACGCCTCTCTACTTTGCTCTTACTTTTTTCCATCTGCAACGCGCATCTATATCAGAACTTCATTTCAACCGTTCAACCGTTTTCTTTTTTCTTCGCGGACTGATACATCCATTAATTTGCATAGGCGCATAATATTTTTCGTAGACTGGCTCATGGGTAGGTATAGGATTTGGGATACGGTGTCAAATGTGATGGATTTCCTAACAGAATGGGTAACTTCCCTTGGCACTTGTGATAATTTATTGACCTTCCCGAGACCGAGGACAGGAAAGTTATTTCAGAGGTCGAGCGCTTGCGCTAGGGTTCCGTGAGTAATCCCTGAATTGCTAACATGTTAATAATTTATGTTATTAACAGGCCCCCTCAGGGGGCACAATGTCGATGTTAATAATGTTAATAATGTTCGAAATTGTATATAATGATCAGCATTTGAATTTACATTGAAATGTACATATTTGGGCAAGGACCAGGTGGAAATATTGAAGGCTGTGGCTGTACAATTATGTCTTCCCTGCAAAATAATAATTTGTCCGGGAGTGCAGAGTCGGACGACGACGCGGATGGCCAACAGAGAGGACCCCCGTGCCGGGCTTCTGCGCTCAATATCGTGCAGGAGTTCGCAATCCGTGAGGAGGCCTTCGTGGATCTGCTATCTGATACTCCTAGGTACACTGCCACAAGCCCCCCCCGCCCTGAAGCTCCCCCTTCCATTCCCAGCTCTGAGATTGGCTGGAGCTGGTGACTTCTTGTTATTAACACCACTTTCTTTATTAACATGTAAATAAATCGGGTTTTAACATGTTAATAACGCTTTATATACAATTGTTATTAATCTGTTATTAACTCATGTTAGAAATTCCTTGGAGAGGCAAATGTTATTAACATTTGTTAACAACTGTCCATGAATTACTCACGGAACCCTAGCTTGTGCTCGAAACGGCTTACATCCCATTGATGTCACATGTGGCATATTGATCATCTGCTGTATCAACAGCAAACATGACTCATCAGGAAACATATAGAGAGAAAGCTATGGACATAAGCATCAAGTTTTCAAGATCAGTCCTGACCATTTATCTGAACCATGTCCAATACTGCTTGTCTCAGGATCCGCTCATCCCTCAACAGCAATATTGTCAACATTTTTCAGATGTTCAATGAGTATCCAGTACAGACCGGGGCAGGAGGTGGTAATATTGTGCTGTTTCTCGAGAGCTTCAAGGACAAGATCAAAGGTTGGGGAGACAATGATTTATTGTTCAGTGTGGTTGAGGAGAAGGACAGCCTTGAATTTGTGGGGACAATAGCACTGTGGAACATTTATGGCATCAAAAATTGTGATGCCAATCTCGGGCTCACTCTCAGAGAGGTGTCCTGGGGGAAGGGCTATGGAACAGAGTTGATGACCTGGCTTGTGGATCACGTATTCAGGGGGCTTGGGTTGCACTGTTTGTCATTGGAGGTGTTTGGGTTCAACAAGCGTGCATGCACTGTTTACAAGATAACGTTAATGAGCATGCACCTGTGCTAGGGTCCGAGGGAGGTATTCGGGAAGCTTTGGGGAGATACCGAACAGTGCTCAACAAGTACCGAAGACACCGACTTTTACCGAACATGGTCAGTCCCTGCCCGACCAACGACAAGCCACCAAAGGACATTCGGCAGCACTTGGGTCAGTTTGCCCACACGTCACGTACTTACCATGACCATACAGGAGGGTTACGATAGGTGTTTACGAGATCAGAGCCAGTATTCAGTATCGGCCGATGTTCTCTGTGAGTCGGTTGGTCCTTATCGCTTATCTTCCTGACTTCCACATGGTTGGTCAAAATGCAATCTTGCACCATTACTTGGCCACCCTAGTCGTACAATACCTCTTCTCTATTTTCACTGGTTCTCCAACGCCTGTTCCTGCTACCTACGCTCGGGCAATGGATCCCGAACGTTCGGGATTTTGCCATTGCTGATTAACTTTTATCTTGTCACCTTCGGAACCCATATGGACATCTCACCTACCTTCTTATTGTTACGACTGCTCGTCGGTAACCCCAAGAGTAGGAGGTTCTTCCCTAGGTCACTCGTGGAGGATGTGTGGAACGGTGGTCTCGACTGTACGTGTAGCACAGGAGCCAGAAGTGTATTGCGATGTAGCAATGAAGACTGCAGTAGGAAGACTGCAGTGGATGAAGATCCCTGTATGTGAAGATACAGGGGGACGAAGGGTACTGTAGGAAGACAGTACCAGAACGAAGAGAATAGACTGAAGATCGTCAGCCTATTCTATGGGCCTTTTATACTACTTTGGGAAGTAGGGCGTGAGAATACCGAATATGTATCTGTAGGTATTCTCTAAGTCGTCTCTCTCAATAACGACTACTCTTGTGCTTCTCCGTTGGTCTCCTTCCGGCCAGGAGAGACTAGGAGGTTCATGCCCTGCGTGTGAGTAATTTATAAGGCGGCGTTCCATGCCCGCTAATACAAAGGCCCGTGATACTCGACCAATGATTGATGATCCATTGGGAGTGGATGACCAAGGTTAATATCTGTACCTTGGTGTACGCCTCAACCTGTGAGGCCGCTTGATATTTGGGATGATCGTGTCGGTATAGACCGCCGTTAAGGCCCGACAGAACGTGATCATAACAATACCCCCTTTCTACGTCCTATTCGCCTGGTAGGACAGCGCTGTGCGCTTCATCGCCACTCCATATACGATTTTCTTTCTTGATCCAAAGACGGTCTCCGGATGCGACTTCCGGGACATGACTTCGTTTTCTGGGAGGAAGACCGACTTACGTCGTTTGATCCTCTAGGAGTTTTCCATCTCCGTTGAGCTGTTTGTTTGTCGAGTCGCGAGGTTATCCAGGCCTCCGCTCTCTAGGATGTTCTTCCTTCACCCGTGGGATTGATTCTGCCGCGGGTAAACCTCATCGCGGTCTTACTTCCAGCCCGCTTCTGGAATAGTATCAAGAAAGGCGTATGAATGCGAGTGGTGTGTGGATGAATAGAAACTCGAGCGTGTGGGTTCTAATTCGTGTCATCAGGTTCTTCTTCTTCCTTCTCTGAGGGCCAAACCTCAGTGTTTCCAGGATAGTCGTCTATCCTCATGATTTGTTGTTCCTCTTGACGACAGTGGATGGCGCCCATGGACAAGTAGGTTGATCGCTTTACGAAGGCTTAGGCCTACTTCTCCAGGCTACCAGTCATGACGCCCCAAGCAGTATCGCTCCCATACGGTGAGCTCATCTCCGGTGAGGTTGCAGCCAAATCCCAAGCAGTATTGTCCCCATACGGTGGACTCATCTCCGGTGAGGCAGTTTACGGCGTCCAGAGTTTGTTTTTCACAAACGTGGGCCTATGGTGGGGAATACCACGTGTAGTGTTGGGTTTGAGGCAAGGATGTGAAGAGAATTAGACTTGAAGGGTGCAGCGAGGAATAAGGAGGAGTCTGACTCCTTTCCCAAGTCTGTCCGTTCGCTTGCACGAGTAGACATCAAGACCACAGCTGATATATTAGTCGGGTTGCGAGATATATCCACGACTGGCAGTTTAAACGTCATGCGGGACGGTCTGTAGTTTATCGTCGTTTCGGACGATCCGTAGTTTAACGTCTTTGCGGACGTCCTTCATCATCAACATGGAATATCTGTGGGGAAAGATGTTTCTGCACGCCGGAATTTCCATCGGTGATGTGCATAGGGCCATAGACCAGACTTTACCCGCTCCAGATTCCACTGAGGCATGATGGACGGTTTATACTATATCAAACCGGATAACTTGTGCGTCTCAATCTTAGGAGACCGCTCAGTTTAATGCCGTGAGGTAGGCATCCTCGCAGTTTAATGCCGTGCGATAGGCATCCTCGCAGTTTAACGCCGTGCGATAGGCGGGCTATCGTCTGACTATGTCCCTCGAGTCACGATAGGCTTTTCCTCCAAGGATGAGGGTAGTTTAATGTCATTTCGGACATTGTCGACACATTCTCGTCAAGAATGATGTCGACCGATGATCCCTGTACGAAAAAGGGACGAGTAGTTTAACGTCATCTCGGACGGTTGGTGACCACGGTCTTGGTCAACAACCACAACTCCTACTTGGTAAGGAGCACGTAGTTTAATGTCATTGCGGACCGATTGACACCATGGCGGTCAATCCACAACTCCTATACGGTAAGGAGCAAATAGTTTTGTGTCATTGCGGACGATTCAGCACCAGAGTGATGAATCACAACTCCCCATGCGATCGGGAGCAAGTAGTTTAACGTTATTGCGGACGCATTGGTGTCCAGGGGATTGGACGTCAATGACAACCCCTAGGTTCAGGGGCACTAGTTTAACGTCGTTTCGGACGCATGGTATCTTGTCAAGATCGCCACGCACAATCCCTATACCTGAAGGGACAAGTAGTTTTACATCGTTTCGGATGCCCGTAGTTTACCGTCATCGCGGACGTCGATGCCATTGGCCTCGAACAATCCCTATGTGGAAAGGGACACTAGTTTAGCGTCATCGCGGACGTCGTTTCGCCACAAATATTGTGGAAAAACGATGCTTAGTTTAACGTCGTCCCGGACGCGACCTAGTTTTACGTCGTTGCGGACGAGACCTAGTTTTACGTCGTCGCGGACGATTGGCGGAATAGACTTTGGATGAGTGGCCCGCTCCTGTCGTTCTTCCGCTATGTGGGCCAGACGAGAGTCGCGTGATCTAGTCCCTTCCTACTAGATCTTTGACTCGAGGCATGTGTCCTAGTTGCCTCCTGACTAGGTCTTGGAGCGGAATTCCTTGTACTTCGACTCCAGGACTAGACTGGGCGCTCCATGAAGAGATGCTCACTCTTCCATGTCCCCAGACCCCTCGCTTGGAATTGAACCAAGACGACCCGATATTCTTTTACCGAAAAGCGAGTGAATATCGGAAGCGCTTCGACCTTTTATAGGCAGGGTTCTGTGACGCGAGTCCTTCCGCGCTTCGCCAGAATACAACCACGCTCCTTTGGTCAATGGTAGTTTAACGTCATCTCGGACGCGGGTAGTTTTCCGTCATTTCGGACGAGGACTAGTTTAACGTCATTGCGGACCCTAGTAGTTTATAGTCATTGCGGACCAAGCCTTTGGTAGTTTTACATCGTTCCGGATGTTATTTGTGGCCTCGCATCATTATAGGAAGACTTGTGAGGTAGAGGCGGCCCGCTCTCTACATCATCTCATGCGCCAGCTGTAGGATCCCCTAATGCGGAAACGATCCTGTAAAACGGGAGATCCAAAGTGGGACGTCCCAAAACACCAGTCAGACCTTGACTGTGAGGGTTCACGTTACGAGTTATGCATCATAATTTCTTGACTCGGACTTGCAACCGGTTATGTATGGGCACTTCGCTGTACCAAGGCGAAGGGCCTGCTTGTCGACACCTACGAGTAGAGTATATGTCATGTAGAGGGTTCCCTAATGCGGAAAAAACCCTGTAAAACTGAGGATCCAAATGGGACGCTCGATGCATCTGTCAGATTGACTCCTTGACAGCGAGGATGTGAAAGGTTCCGCCGTAGGCTGTACGTGGAATTATGCCCGCTGTTGTCCTTGATTCGTACCATCATTTGAACCTAGGACTAAAATGGTCAGGTACTTCCCCTGCCTTCTTATCTTTTCACAGTTTTAAGACATGCAGGTCCGATAGTTTAGACGTCATTCCGGACGCGGGGTAGTTTAACGTCTTTTTCGGATGAGGTCGTACAGTTTAACGTCTTGAGGGACGATCCTAGTTTTATGTCGTTGCGGACGAACAATAGTTTAAGGTCATTTCGGACCCTCGCTTTTTGTCAGGGGGAAGGAGTTCCTCTACTTCCTTACCCCCTTTCTTCTCCTTGTGCCCTGTTATTAGTCCTTTTAATAATCGAAGGGTCCTTGATAGTCCCCGCCTCCTTCATCCGGTCGGTAATAGGGGTCTGCTTCGTCGTAATTTCCCGGATCGTCTAGAGCGTCCCATGCATCGAGCTCGGATCTAGTCCAAGAGCTATTTCTTCGAGCCTCCGAATTAATGCGGCGAGTTCTGCGGCTACTTCGGTTATCCTCTCTTTCGTCCGTACGAAGTCGAGCACTAGGAGGAGGCGATCCAGGCCGGTGTCGAACACTCCGGCCAGCAGTTGTTCCGCGTCCGAGGGTTGTCTGGCTTCCCCGACTCCGCCTTCCCTCATTTCTTCGATAGACGGGCGGTTCCTCCTCGTCGGTATTTCCTTGGGATAGGGGAAAACCTCGTATCCGGTGAGAGGGGGGAGTCGCGGTATGGCTATGCGCTGTAGGAACCTCTCGTTGTCTCGGTGGAGGGCGCTCCACGACCGTACGCGGAACCCTCCTTGGATTTGGTACAGGCGTGGGATGTTCTCCCGGACGTGGTACGTTCCAAGTGACAACTCGGAAAGGGTCGGTTCTGCTTGGCTGGACGTTTCCCAGTTCTCCTCCGAAGAGGAGAGCTGGAAGGAGCTCTCGGTTGACGTATTGGGAGAACTCGTCAGGGTGGATGAGGAGGGCTCGGGGTCGCCCGTCATTGTGGGCGTACCAGGAGGCTGTGTCCGGGTCGGTTTGGAGGGCGAGCGCCCTGATCTGGAGACTGGCACTAGCCAGTCGTCGAGGTACGTCGCTATGTTCATTCCCGGGTTGTCCTGCCGAGAAGTTAGCGAGTCTTTGGAGGGCCATGGCTGTGGCCATTTGTATTACCGCGGAGATGGTGTTCCGCTGGAGGAGCGCGTCCGCGTGTCGCTCCAGTTCTCCGGCGTGAGGATCTGTACGAGGGGTAGGTCCTCCCATGGAGCTGGGAATCGGTCCACTAGTTGGTACTGGCGGAGGTGCAGTTTCTGATAGAACTGGTATTGGTTCAGCTTCTCCATGGCTTGGGAGTTGAGCTGCCGTTCTTGCTCGAAATCCCGAGGGACCTGCAATTCCACTATTTGGCGTGCCTTCACTAGGAGGTG